GCCACCGCGGCCCTCGGCGCCGCGCGCGCCCACAGCCTCGGGGGCGCGGAGCCCGCCTTCGCCAGCACCGAGGACCTCAACTGCAAGGAGAACCTGGAGCAGGACCTGGGCGACGACACCAGCAACGAGCTGCTGCTCAGCTGCCCGCACTTCCGCAACGAGATCGGCGGCGAGCGCGAGCGCGACGTGAGCTTCGCCCGGGCGTCCGCGGGTCCCCCGGCGGGCGGGGGCGGGGGCGGCGCCGAGGGCCGCCCGGCGGAGCCCAACCTGAGCTCCTGCCGCACCAACGCCAGCATCTCGGTGCTCGAGGTGCCCAAGGAGCAGCAGAGGACGCAGAGCCGCCCGCGGCAGTACAGCATCGAGCACGTGGACCTGGGCGCTCGCTACTACCAGGACTACTTCGTGGGCAAAGGTGACCGTCCGGGCCCGGGACGGGGGTGGGGGACAGCTTGTCTCGGGGACTCCCCTGCGCATCCATTCACTGTGCCCCAGATCTTGCTCTCAGCGCTGAGGATACGGCAGGAAGGGAGGCCCCCTCGGAGAGGGGCTGTGAGCCAGCCTCCTGACCCAGGGCTCCCACTCCACAGCCGTGAGCTCCATGAGACAGTAGATGTGAATTCATTTGGCAGATATGTGCTGGGTTCAGCTGTGTGCCAGGCACTTTCTAGAGCCAGGGGAGCCTAAAACAAAAATCTTGTCTTTCTAGCACTGTGTTTTAGTGGGGTAAGACAAACGGTAAAACTAGGTAATGAGGTGAGATATCTAAGTGTCGGAAGGTGGCAGGTGCTACGGAGGAGAGTAAAGCAGGGAAGGGGAGGGGACAGTGTCAGGGTGGGAGGGAGTAGTCGGGGGAGGGGGGGCCCTCCTAGGTAAGGGCCATGTGAGGTGAGGAGGGAGCCGTGTGGACATTGGGGACAGGGTTCCTGGCCCAGGGAACAGCAGGTACGGTAGTCCTGGAATGCTGAAGGATAGGAAGGAAGCCAGTGTGGCAGGGACAGGGTGACTGAGGAGAGTGGAAGGAGCCGAGGCGGAGAGGTACCAGGGCAGATGGTGTGGGACTTTGGGCCGTCGTGAGGGCTCTCACTTTTACCCTAAGGGGGATGGAGCCTCAGGAGGGTTCTGGGCAGCAGAGGCCCTGGTCTGACTCCCTCTGGGGAACAGACTATGGGGGTGGGGGCGCGGGGAGACCAGGGAGGAGGCTGCTCTGGTAGTCCCGGCAGGAGACGACGATGGACACGCCCAGGGTGGGAGCCCAGGAGTGGGGAAGAAGCAGGCAGCTTCTGGGTCCCCTTTGAAGGCTGAGCTGTTGGTATCTGGAAGGTGTTAACCCCAGGGAGAGACGGGCTTTGTACATCACCAGGTTCATTGGTGCTGGTGGGACAATCCCAGGTGGCAGCAGAGCAGAGTGCAGAGACATGAACCAGGCAGCCACAAGGGCCGGGCAGGAACCCTGAGGAGTGAAGCTGCCCCGTGGGGACTCAGCACACGGCAGCTGCTGCTCAGCCCCAGGTCACTGCTGTCATGCAGGAAATGCAAACAAACCCAGTGTTGTCAGGCTTCCCAATTTTTCAAGATTTTCCTGAAATTCAGATTTTTTAATGTGGATTCTTCTCATTTTTAAATGCTGGTAGCTGTATTGATTCAGAATGGCTTATAACTGCCAGTAACAGGCTTAAACAACATAGAAGTGTATTTCTCTCATATAAAGAAGCCCAGAAGTTAGCAGGCGAGGTCTGGTGTGGTTACTCCTCAGCATCAGTGGAATGCCAGCCTTAGTGTGTGACCTCCAGCCCTCAGGGTGGTCTCCTGGTCCAAGATGGCTGCTGGAGCTCCAGCCATCACATCCATGTTTCTAGGCAAAGAAAAAGAGGAAAGGGTAAGGGCAAAAAAGCAGACCTCCTATCAAGTCAGCCCCCTTTAAAGAGCTTTCTTAGAAACCCCATCAAACTCCTCTGCTCATTGGCCATTCCCATTTATAAGGCAGGCTGGGAAAAGTAGGTTTTTAGCTAGACACAGCCGCTCTCTTGACCTGCCCCAAGAATAGAGAGTTTTTCTTAAAAAGGAAGAACAGATGACTAGATAATGGATAAGCAGTTTAGTATTCCACATCAGCTAGCTTAAAATTTTTTTAAAGCAGTGTCCTAGTGGAACATGACAGATGTCAGCTAGGTCATCCCCCGGGGCCCAGTGCAGTCTCTGGAGCTCCAGTGTTAGAGTCAGACCCCTGCATTTGGGTGTCTGCTCCAAAGCTTATTAGCTCTGTGACACATTTCACCCCTCAGACTCTGTCCTCCTATGGGGAATGGAGATGATTGTCGCAGCACCATATACCCCAGACCAGAGTGACACAGACTGAAAATAAAGGGATGAAGGGAGGAGGTCCCAACAGTTGCTACCCAAGAGAAAGCAGTGAGGCAGCATCGGTAGCACACGAACTCGATTTCAGGGCTGAAAGCACTTGTTTGAGGAACTGAAAGAGCCATTTCATGTTGATTTTTAAAAATTCACCGAGAAACTAGTGGTTGTGAACCTTGGTGTAGCTGGCAACCTGGGTTAGGGTTTATACATAAAACACTGATACGGGAGAAGTGAGCAGATGGTGCCCAGTGGGAGAAATTGACGAATCCAGTAGCCAAAAAATAAGGTAGAGGATCCGAATAACCTGATCAAAACCTGATTTTACATTTATATGTGTTAATTTTGTGCCTAACCAGTAGAGAACACGTTCTTTTTAGCTCACACCTAGAAAGACCTACTTGAAGGGACTGTGGTGTGGATCAAGTAAGATTGTATGGTAAAACTCTTAGTTCTTCATCAGACACATATAAGTCCTCATCGTGGAGCTTTAAAGAAAAGCCATTTTCTTTCAAAAAAATGATTTCTCTCTAGCCCTGGAGGCTCATACATAAATGAGTCGTTGGTCGGTGTTCACTGAGTGCCTGCCATGTGTCAGGACTGCAGGGTACTGGGTGTGTGTTCTTGGGGAGGCAAGCCCGTTACTGCTCCGGGAAGGGACTGCTGTCTCTGGAGCACAGGCTTTCTTCTGTTTTCTGGCCACCTGGGGAGATTGTTCAACCCACGGCAGGTGCTGTTCTGATTGGGGCCCTTAAATATCCCACATTATTTGGGCCTTAGACGAGCCTTTGATTTGCCAAGAGCGTCTCACGAGACCGGGAACCCTCAGTTGAATGTTCAGAGCGCTGGGTGGGAAGGAGTTTCCGGCAGTGGGTAGATGCTGGCTCACGGACATGAAGAAGACAGACTGCTGGTGGGTATCCCCCACAAGCAGGAGGCCCTGGGGTTATACGTGGGGAAGGACTGTTTGCCTGGAAGGGTTATAAGACAGCAGCGTGTCTTAGAAAAAAGGGGGAGACAGCTGTCATTTAGGGGAGAGAATGGGAGATTCCCTCCCATGTAAGAAGCTCTGTCGCCACCAGGACAGAAAGAGCAGTGTTAAGTTTCCTGGGTCTGTAGATACATGGTCAGAGAAAGTGATGCTTAGGGACTTGAATCGTGGTCCCTTTTCTGTGACAAACATGCCCTGGGGTTGGGACTAGCCAGTGCCTCCCATGTGCTTCCCGTGTGCCCGGCTCTGTGCTCGGTGCTCCTCGATTATTAACTGACTTAATTCTCACAGCCGTGCTGAGAGGTGGGTCCATCCTTACCCGGTAAAATGAGGTCCATCCTCATTTTACTGATGAGAATGCTGCCGAGTGACTCAGCCTGGGCTGTACATCTGACAGCGGCAGAGCCCGGATTTCGGCCGGGCGGGAGCCCTTGAGACTAGAATCTTCACCACTTCACGGAGCTGATGGGCAGCTAAGCGGAGGGGGCCATTTGCAAAGACAGGATAATCGCAGTGAGGCTGGATTCATCACACGCCATGCACGGCGCTAAGTATTTTATTCATGCAGCTTCATTTCCCCCTCACATGAGCTCTCTGAATTGTGGGTAGTGGCTGGGCCCCCATTTCTCAGATGAGAGCACAGAAAAGATGAGGCCCAGAGAAGTTCTGTGATTTGTCCGAGGTGGTGGAGTAAGGTGGGCTTCACCTCTCACCCTCGCTCCACTGAGTGTGGCCGTGACCAGGCGTGAGGTCTGTGTGACCAGGATCCCACGGGTAGCACAAGAGCCTGCCCCAGCCGTGCCCTCCGGGACAGGCCGTGGGACGCCACCCCTGCTTCCTGGGGAGCTGACTGCACTCGCCTACTCTTCCCTCTCAGAGCATGCCAATTACTTTGGCGTGGACGAGAAGCTGGGGCCGGTGGCCGTGAGCATCAGGCGGGAGAAGCTGGAAGACCACAGGGACCATGGGCCTCAGTACCAGCACAGGATCATCTTCCGGACGCGCGAGGTAGGCCCCACCACTGTTGTTAACGATCGTGTAGCGATAACCACGCACGTCTGGGGGCCCTTGCTGTGTGCTGGGTTCTGTGGGCAGGCGCCTCCCCTCCTGTAATCCTCCCAACAGCCTCATGCGAGCAATCCTGTTATCTCCCCGTTTTTTTTTTTTTAAAGATTTTATTTATTCATTTTTTTCCCCCCAAAGCCCCAGCAGACAGTTGCATGTCATAGGTTCACATCCTTCCAGTTGCTGTACGTGGGACTCGGCCTCGCGTTGGACGGAGAAGTGGTGCCTTGGGGCGTGCCCGGGATCCGAACCCGGGCCGCCAGCATCACAGCGCGCGCACTTAACCGCTAAGCCACGGAGCCGGCCCTATCTCCCCGTTTTACAGAAGAAAAAACTAAGACTCAGAGAAATTAAACCACTTGTCTGGCATCAGCGAATAAGTGGTCAGAATTAGAATCCAGCATGTGTGACTGCAGAGCCCGGGATTCTTACACGTGTGAGAGATTCGCTGTGGTTCGCGTAAGAAGTAAAGGGGGAGGTGGAGGGGATTCTTTTGGGATCGTGAGGTGTCCTGCAGCATGGCCAGAAGAATGAAGGCAACAAGCGTCAGGCGGGGCAGGAGTTGGGGACTTGCAGCCACAGGCGCTGCCATTGCTGCTGATCGGTCAAAAGACGCCCAGCGTGTCCCTTTTCATGCTGAGTGGGGAATCCCATTGTTCTGGCTTGGTCAGAGCTCTTCCCCTGGGTTAAAGGTCACCTGTGGCTAGGGAACAGGGCCTGTTGAGGGCACCCTGCCTCATTAGGACTCTAAGTTGTAACTGACAGAAACCTGCATTGAACTGGTTAAAGCCAGAAATGGAATTGTTTGGTTCATGTAACTGCAAATCCAGGGGTAGGGCTAGCTTCAGGCATAGCTGGACCCAGGCACTCAAATGATGTCACCAGAACTCTGCCTCCTTATCTCTCTGTTCCTCTAGGCTCTGCTTCTTTTTGCATTGTGACTGTCATTTTCTTCTGCCACCAACAAGCTCTCTCCCTGTCATAGGAAAGTGGAGACTGGCTGCTCAAATCTTCTTATCTTTATACCTTCTCCTCCACGAGGAAGAGACTCTTATCGCCAGATCTCTGGGAGGGACTCTGACTGGCTCCACTTGTGTTACAGGCCCACGCCCTGGGCCAGTCGCTGTCGTCAGGGGTGATAGAGGAAGCTGGCCAGATCTCGGACATGTGCTCCACCCTGGGTCCAGGGGCAGGGAGGGCCCTGTGATTGACAGTTCCATCAGAGCCACCTGGAGGAGTCAGCAGGTGGTTCCTCGGCAAAAAGAGGGGAGCTAGGCCAGCAAAAATGATGAGACTTCCAAAAGACCAAGTAAGGAAGATGTTTCCGGAAAAGGGGCAGTCAGCTGGGCGGGCCCCCCAAAATGGGTCTCCCTCAGTCCTGCATTGCCCCATCCCCCTCAGGTCTGGCCTTTGCCCAGACACGGCGACCCAGCAGGCTGCTGCTCTCAGGGCCTTTGGGGGTGGGGCCCACCGGGCCTGGACCTCACCCAGACTGGCAGATGCTGCACGAGGCCCTAGCCCCCTCCCCTCACGAAGACCTTCCCCTGCGGGGGACTGGGATGGCACAGAGGCTCTGCAGCAGCTGAGGGAAGGCAGCCCTCAAACCTCGGGCCCCAGACTGTGGGTGGCCACCAGCCCCTCTGTCTCCCCAGTCCCTCCCCCCCACCTTTCTAGACACGTGAGCACCAGAGCAGAATGTGAGGTGACAGCTCACACCGCGTCAGACTGTTGTATGTGACAGGGGAGCTGCTGGGCGAAGTGATGACAGTCATACACTGGTAAATAGTATTTGTTACAATTGCTATTATGTCGCAGATCTCCTTGACACTGGGTGTCAGGCTTTTTCTCCACCCCTTACGTGTATTCAGTCACTCCAGTGTCGTGACAGTTCTACGCTGAAAGCACCGTGGTCCTCATGTACAGATGGCGAGACAGGCATGGAGAGGTTAAGGTCTTGCCCTCCCGTGAGGGACAGGGCGCAATGTCAGCCTGCTCACTGCCCCTGGGATTCACCTGACTTGGCCCAGCCGGTCCGAGGGTTATGAACTCCACTTCCTGCCAGCCTTTTTGTATCGTTGGGTTTTTTTTTTTTAACAAAAATAGAACGTGTAAAATGAGTTATTAAAACCCCAGCCTGCAGTGACGTACCGAGAGTTGGGAGACTGCTGTGGACGCTGGGTCAGGAGGTGGTATTTCCGCTGGGGTTCCTCTTCAGTGGGTTTGAAACTGCCGGCTGCCGTTCCTGGCTCGTGCCTGCTCCCGTCCACTTCCCACCCCAGCACCGACGGAGCTAGCCTCTGGTCCACCCCGGCTGGGCACAGGGCCCTCGAGACTCAGGGCCCGGGACTGGGATTCATCCATGCCACAGACGTTCACTCCGCACCACTGCCCGTAGCCCTGTGCTGAGCGCTGAGGGGACAGTTGTCAGTAAGGCCACGAAGATGCTTGTGGGGTTGCGTTCTTGTTGGGGAGGCAGACAGTACACAGTACATTTACCTGAGTAAATTCTCCAGTGTGGTACGTGATGATGAGGTGGAAAGGAAAGTGAGAAAGAGAGATAAGTGTGAGGGGTGGTAAGACGTTTAGACAGCACGGTCAAGGAAGGTGGCACTGGAAGATCATGGAACATTCGAGTAAAAGAGCTGCTGCAGGAGATGAGAGGAGGAGCCCTGTGGACATCTGGAAGAGCATTCCAGCCAGTGCAAAGGTCCTGAGGTAGGACCATGGCTGGTGCACTGGGGACCTGGTGTGTGTCCTAGTTCAGCCACTCAGCAGCCATGAAACCTTGGGCGCGTGGCTTTGTCTCTCAGAGCCTCAGTTTCCCCTTGGGAATCCCACTCTCACAGGACTGGTGTGGGCTCGGTGAGGTTGCGCATATAAAGGCGACAGTGCTGGGCCTGGCACGTGGGGAGAACCCAGTGAGGTTAGCTGTCGGGAAGCCTCCCAGTCTGCTGTCCCCTTGTCACATTCCAGTCAGCCTGTGAACTGTGGGCTGCCATGAGGTTCGCAGCTGCAGGTAGCCCTCTCTCTGCCCTCACACACGCAGGCCTCACGCAGACTCGGCCTGGGCCCAGCCCCTTGCAGAGCCGCCCCCCTGGGCGCTGAGGCCTGAGGACCTCCTCACCTGGAGGTGGAGGGAGGGGGAGTGCTAGCAAGGTTTGCCTCGCCCCTTCCTGAGGCCCTTCCTGTCACAGAGGCAGAGCAGAGGGTCATACAGCCCAAAAGGAGTAACATAGTCCTCACAGTCCTAGCTAACACTCAGCACATGTTCCTGCCTGGCACCGCCCCAAGTGTTGTATATGCACTGACCCTTCGAATCCTTTCAGCAGTCCATGATGTGGGTCCCCTGATTATCCCCATCCTACAGATGAGGACGTTGAGGCCCAGGGTCCCCCAGTGGCAGAGCTGGCACATGGACCAGGCCGCCTGGGCCCCGAGCCTGTGCTCTTAACCACACTGCCTGTAGGGTCGAGTCTGAATTCTGGCTCTGGGAACAGACAGCGCTGGGTTCAGGCCGGCTCTGCCGCCCACCAGCCGCGTGACCTCGGACAGAGGGCTTTCCCTCAGGGCGCCTCAGTTTCTTCTCTGTATTCCCTGTCTTGGAGCAGTGGGAGGTTCTCTTAGACTGGCAGGGCTGGGGGTGTCTGAGCTCCAGATGTCACTGTGATGACACTGCTGTCCTGGCCGCCACTCTCTCCTGTGAGTTCAGGGGGCCGTGCTGGGAGCAAGGGTTGAGTTCACAGACAGGGTTCTGTGCTCCTCCTGGCCACATGCACGTCCCCGGCTCCCGTACGGCAGGGCCTGGGGGCCAGAGTCAGGGGCCCAGGCTGTTTTCCAAGCCAGCTGGCTGGCCCACCCCAGATGGCCGCCCCTGGCCGCCAAGCAGGCAGTCGGGTGGGCCCACGTCCCCCAGCAGATGGGACGTGAGCGTTGGCAGCACCAAGCTCCCTGCCAGGGCAGGGACAGACTGGGAGCTGGGCTTTGAGACCACAGGACTGAATGTCAGCCCACAGCCCACCCCCTGAGCCTGGACAGGACAAGCGCCCTGCTGCCCTGTCCCGAGCCCCCGGCTGCCACTGTCTCTCCCAGGACGCAGGGACCCCAGCTAGCCAAATGGGTTCCATACAGCACTTCAAACATGAGTTTTTGATGGGCCTCAGTTTTGTTAGGGTTAGAGGTTTGGATTTTTCTTTTCTTTTTTTATTTAAAAACTAACGCTTACTCATTGTTAATAATTTAAGTACATAAGTGTGCAAAGTAGACAAGGGAGAGTCTCGTATTAAGTGGAAAAAGCAAGTGTAATGGTGCGTTGAGTGGGACCTCATTTGTGTTCATTAGGTACCTGATTGTGTATGTTTGTGTGTATGTGTGTATGAATAATCTCCAAAGCATACTATTAAGTGGGGAGAAAAGCAATCTGTAGCTTCTTATTTATGGTTAAAATTTTTTTTAATTCTTTTTTTTTTCTTAATTTTATTTATTTATTTTTCCCCCACAGCCCCAGTAGATAGTTGTATGTCATAGCTGCACATCCTTCTAGTTGCTGTATGTGGGACACGGCCTCAGCAAGGCCGGAGAAGCGGTGCGTTGGTGCGCACCCGGGATCCGAACCCGGGCCACCAGTAGCAGAGCGCTCTCACTTAACCGCTAAGCCACGGGGCCGGCCCTTAAATTCTTAACTACGCATGCAGCTTAGTACAAATACATTTGACACGTGTGTGCACATAATAATGGCTAATGCGTGTTGAGCACTCGCGGTATGCCAGCTCTAGTGCTAAGCACCATATGTGGGTTATCTTATCGAATTCTTACAACCTTTGAGATGGGCACTATTCTCTCCCTTTTTTAAATGAGGAGACAGGTACAGAGAAATTAAGCGGCTTGCCCAGGGTCACACAGCCAGGGGATGGGTAGAGCCAGGATTCGAACCCAGGCAGACCGATTCCCACGTGACCTCCCAGGAGAAGTTCTTGAAGGGTGTACCCCACACCCGGCACAGGGAAAGGCAGGGAAGCCCTTGAGTTGGGAGCCGGTGGAGAACGGCCCATGCAGATGGGAACCTCCTTGCTCACGTGGCTCACTTGACTGCCTGTCCTCAGTGAGATGACACCCGGTGTCATCGAGGGTCGGATCACACAGGATCTTGCCGGCTGAGCAGTGAGTGTAGATTTTATTCAGGCAGAGATGGGAAGCCACTAGCGGGTTCTGCGCGGAGGAGAGACATGATCCGACTCAGGCTGCTGCAGAAAGAATTGACTGGGGTGGGGTGGTAGGAGGAATGGGAGCAGGGAGACGAGGAGGAGGTGACTGTCACGCTCCGGGTAGGACGTGACGGTGGCCAGGACCAGGTGGAGAGTAGACGTGGCCACTTGTTGTAACCTGCCAGTGCCCTACTTATTATCCCTGCAGAGAAGGAAAAGCTGGGAGCTTTTCAAGTAGTGGCTTCTGGTTATGTCGTCAGAGCCAAAATGTGACGGTCGGCCACCTGTCTCCCACGTGGAAGAATGAATGAGGATTTCTGGTCCACACTGCCCCTTGGCCCCAGCAGAGGGTGCTGTGGGGCACTGTCAGCGGGATACAAAGCCACTGATCCCGCTGGTGCATTCATTGAAACCCACAAACTCCCCCAGATCGGCAGGGCAGAGCATCCCACGTCATTGCTTTTCACAATCTGTGTCAAGACTACCCTGCTTCTGATGGGAGACATTTGTTTGTTAATTACCAGGGCAGGAACTGGGAACTCCCAACCATGAGATCATTCCATTCCTTCTCCACCCGCCTCTTGCCCAGTTCCTGTTTGGTGAGGGTGGGCCGTGTGCTTAGAGGCCATGTCAAGACACGTTGTTTTTGCCGCCTCCTGTGTCTCTTGACTTAGGGTGAGGATGTTTTTCCAGTTTACACTGATCCTCCTTAGTCTTAAACCATAGCCCCAGGTGTATTTTGGGTGCTTGTAACTATCCGCTTGGGGGAGGATTTTTTACCCCGTGCTGCGCCATCCTGGTGTGGTGGTGGGGCTGCCTCTCCCGGGCATGGCAGAACCTGATAGCCGGCAGCACATCGTGGGTAGAAGCCTGAGCTGGTGTCAGAGAGGACGGGAAGCACCAGGCACTCTGAGACGGGGCTGCGGGGTGGAAATGGGCACAACCACTTGGAAACTGGCAGTTCAGTGAAATTGAAGATTAACATGCCTGCTGACTCAGCAGTTTTCTCTCCTGGGTGTAAACCCAAGAGGAAATGTGTTCCTGTGCACTGAGAGGTGCTTCTTGAATGTTCCCAACAGCAGTGTTCACAATTGTCAGACACTGGAAGCAGTTTCCGTGCTCATCAACAGTAGAGTGAATTAAATCCACTGTAGAGCAACATGGTCGCATCTCATATCAGTAGCATTAAGAGAAAGAAGCCAGATATAAAAGAATACAAATTGCCCGAAGCTCAGAAATAAATTATAGTGCCAGAAGTCAGGGTGGGGTTGCCTTTGGGGAGGAGGGTGGGGCACAAAAGGGCTTGTGGGGGCTGGAAACACATATTTCTTGCTCAGAGTGGTGATTACCTAGGTGTTCTCTCTGTGCTAATTCCTTTAGCAGTACTTATATGTGTGTGTACTTTTCTGTATGTGGATTATACTTCACAGTAAGAAAAAAAAAATTAAAAAATGATGAGCTTTGGAGAAGTCAGACCTAGGTTGGCATCCTGGTTCAGCCACTTAGCTGTGGTGACCTTGGATAAGGCACCAACCTCTTGGAGCTTCACTTTTCTTATCTGTAAAATGGAGATACCAAACTCTCCCCTGAACAGACCTATACATATAATTAGATAACTACTATCATACCTGGAATACAGTGCAGTGAACTACACTTTCAAAAATGTGACTTGTTATGAAGATATATCAGTTAGAAATTGCTTTATCTGCAGAGTAACAGAAAACATGACTATAAATAAAACAAATAGGAGGGTATTTTAATTATCTAGGAAGTCTGCAGGTAGGCAGCTACAAGGATTGAGTTCTCTGTGATTTTTTGTTTTTGTCTCTCTTCATGATCACAAGATGTCTACCACAGCTCCAAACATCTTATCCTCACACCAGTGTCCTTAGCAAGAAGAATTGGACAGGTGGAAAGGGACTTGCCTTTTACCAGGGAGGAAAATCTGCCCCAGAAGTCTTCCCCAAGCTGAATTCCCCTCACATCTCACTGCCTGGAACTAATCAGGTGACCAGCTGTAGAAAAAACTTGGAAAGCAACATCTGAGGAAGGGGGGTAAGATGGCCATGATTGGCTTGACTAAAGATCTCCACAAAGACAGGGGTCTTCGTTTTATCCACACCACCTAGAACAGAGCTGGCACTTAGAGGCCCTCGGTCAATATTTGTTGAACAAATGAGGGTATGTTCCACCCGTTGTCGCATTTAGTCCTCCCAACATCCATTCAGGGTTAGGACACTGTCAGTGCACCCATTTCACGGAAGAGGAAGCTGAGGCTCAGAGATAAGTAGTCACATGGTCAAGGTCACACAGCCAGGAGGCAGCTAGTTGGAGTGCTGGTCCAAAGCCAGGGCTTTCTGGCCCTAGAGCCCAAGCTGCTGACCCTCAGGCGTGTGGCTTTGAGAACAGGCTGCCCTCCTATGCTCTCATCCGCTCCTGGGTCCCCAGACCCGCTAATCTTCCCTTCCCTCCCTCGCAGCTCATCACCCTGCGGGGCTCCATCCTGGAGGACGCCACGCCCACGGCCACCAAGCACGGGACGGGGCGGGGCCTGCCCCTGAGGGACGCCCTGGAGTACGTCATCCCCGAGCTCAACATCCAGTGCCTGCGGCTGGCTCTCAACACCCCCAAGGTGACGGAGCAGCTGCTGAAGCTCGACGAGCAAGGGGTGAGCCGCCCAGGTCGGGGCAGCGGGGCGGCAGCCTGCAGCCCGCTCCTGGCACTTCTTTCTGTCTTGGTCACTCTTTTTTTTTTTTTGCAAAGAACAGAAACCCACTTAAGCTGGTTTCAGTGACAGGAGGGGTTTATATCAAATTCTGGGGGTGCCAAGAGCAGGAATGTGGCGGGGTCTCAGGAGGGAAAAGGTCCAGGAGTGGGACAGCCGCCAGGTTCGTGTGTGTGCGTGCGCGCGCTTGTATGTGTGTCTGTGTCTTCCCCCACCCCCTGCACACTGGCCCCCTCTGCTCCTCTGGCCCTCCCACCGCTCCCAGTTTTGCTGTGAGAATTACAGCTATATGCAGACCCCAGCTAGGTGACTCCCAGTCCCAGGAGAGCCTCGGACTGGGCCACCATGAGGTTAAGTGTCTGTCCGTGGTCCAGTGACCAGGGGAATCAGGGATTCATCAAAGAGACATGGTTATTGGGGGCCCACCCCCTAAAAAACAGTATTGACTGTGCTGAGCCTTGAGCTCTCCAGCTAAGATTTCTCTTGCGGAATCTTAGCCGTTCCAGTCCACCTACCAAGGGAAGCCGGCAATGGTCTCTTTCCCTCGAGAGAGTGGCATCGCCCTCCTCAGAGAGAACGAGAATGGGCGACACAGGCACCTCGTCATGCCCTCTGGAACGCACGGAGGGAGAGAGACAGCTGGGATGCGCCCTCACTCCCTTTTCTTCCTTTCTGGCTGTGGCTCTGAATTCCCGCGTGACCCCAGCAGCTCCCTGGGCTCAGCGCCCGAGAGAGCCTCCTTTGTCCCGTTCCCTCTGACCTCTCTGCCGGGCCTGCCTCCTTCAAGCCGCTCTCGCCCCTGCAGCTCTGCCGGAAGCACAAGGTGGGCATCCTGTACTGCAAGGCCGGCCAGAGCTCGGAGGAGGAGATGTACAACAACGAGGAGGCCGGCCCCGCCTTTGAGGAGTTCCTCTCCCTCATCGGCGAGAAGGTCTGTCTGAAGGGCTTCACCAAGTACGCCGCCCAGCTGGACGTCAAGAGTAAGTGGCGATGGTGACCTGGTGGGGGAGCCCGTTGGATCCTGGTGAGCCACCACCGCACGCCCGCCTGCCCCGGGGGCGGAAGTCAAAGGGCCTGGGCGTACCAAGGTGAGGACGCCGGGCAGTGGGGGACCCCTGACTCTGATGGTGGGAGAGCAAATGATGCAGCCACTTTGGAAAACAGTGTGTATGGCACATTCTAGTCAGGTCTGAAGATTCACCTTCTCTGCGTCTCAGCAATTGCACTCCTAGACGTATCCTCGAGAGCTTGTGCACGTGCACGCTGGGAGAGGTCCTGAATGTTCATAACTGCAGCCACCTGGGTGGTCCCCAGCGTGCACGGGCGGAGTTGTGGTATATTCCCGCAACGGAGTGCCATATGGTAGTGACAGCAGTGAACTGGAGCCACGGGCATCAGCCCAGAGAGGGCCACATACTCGATGTGGAGACAGACAGCGGGTCTCAGGAGAGCGGGGACTGAATGAGGCCTTTCACACAAAGCACACGCAACAGTATACTGTTTGGAGGTTTGTTATATAGTAAAAGTCTAAAGAAAACGAGGCAGTGATAGACACGAGGCCAGGACAGTGGCTGCCTCCCGGGGAGAGAGTGGATTTCCCTAGAAAGTGACGCTCATGTTAGAGTGTGAGTGGTGGTCTGTTTCTTAAGGCGCATGCTAGGAACAACATATTCATTATAGTACATATGTACGTACTACACATACGTATGCATACGTGTGTGTTACGTGCTGTCACATTGGCTCTGACTCGTGGCGACCCTATGCGTGAGTGATGGCCACAGTGTCCTGTCCTCAGCAGCCCTTCTCAGCTCCTGTAGACTGGTGCCCATGGCTTCCTTCATGGAGTCACTGCATCTCACATTTAGTCTTCCTCTTTTCCTGCTGCCTTCTACTTTCCCAGCATTATTGTCTTTTCCAAAGAATCCCGCCTTCTCATGATGTGCCCAAAGTAGGGCAGCCTCAGTTTTATCATTTTTGCCTCCAGTGACAGTTCAGGCTTAATTTGCTCTGGGCCCCACTTGTTCATGTTTCTGGCAGTCCAGGGTATCCACAGAGCTCTCCTCCAACACCATGTTTCATACAAATCCATTTTTTCCTGTTAACCCTCCTTCCCTGGCCAGCTTTCACACCGTTCATAGGAATTGGGAATATGAGGGTGTGGATGATCTTCACCTTGGCCTCCAATGACACTTCCTTATGCTTCATGACTTTCCTAATTCTTTCATTGCTGCCCTTCCGAGTCCCAGTTTTCTCTTGATCTCTTGGCTGCAGTCTCCATTTAAATTGATGACTGGATCAAGCTGAACAAAGTCTTGAGCCAGCTGTGACGGCCTAGTGGTTAAAAGTTCAGCGAGCTCTGCTTTGGCGGCCCAGGTTCGGTGGGCGCAGAACCACACCACTCGTCTGTCAGTAGCCGTGCTGTGGTGGCGGCTCACGTAGAAGAACTAGAAGGATCTACAACTAGAATACACAACTATGTACTGGGGCTTTGGGAAGGAAAGGGCGGGGGGCGGGGAAGGAAGATTTGCAACAGATGTTAGCTCAGGGTGAGTCTTTCCCAGCAAAATCTTTAACAATTTCAGTGTCTTCATTGACTCCGGTAAAGCTGTGTGTTTCTTCTGTACTCGTGACTTGTCTCCTTGATGTTCAAATGCAGTCCTGCTTTGGCACTTTCTTCTGTCACTTTCGTCAGAAGTCGTTCCCAGTCATTGCTGCTTTCTTCCTGTAAGATGGTGTCGTCTGCATATCTTACGTGGTTGATATTTCTTCCACCAGTTGGCACTCCTTCATCTAAGCTGAGCCCGTATACATCCTTAAATATACTTGTATATGGTGTGTAGGCCTGAAGCGCTTCATGGTAAGTAGTTTTAGGGGATGGATGAATGACACTGTGCGCTGGTGTCACGGCTCCTGGGGGGAGGACCGCCCATTGACTGTGGGGGTGACCAGCGTTGGGTAGCTGCTCAGGCCGAGGCGGAAAGCCCCGAGATGGGACCCTGGCTTGATCACTCGCTCTTCGCCTTACCTTGCCAAGCCTCAGTTTCCTCATCTGGAAAATGGAGGCCCGGAGGAGGAGGCCAGGCTTAGAGAGATGGATCAAGTGTTGAGCAGGTGTCTGTGGCTGTCGTCCTCACCGTCGCCTCCTCTGCTGAAGGAGGCAGTAGGAGGAAGAGGCATCTTATTGTGCCGGTTGTGGGTTTTGTGGTCTTGGGCAGGTGGCTTTACCGCTCTCTGCCTCAGTTTCCTCATCTGTACAGCAAGGGAGATAATTGCACTGACCTCAGGAGCCCAGCGTTGAACCTAACATACTGAGCTCGCACTCTGTGCTGGGCACTGGGTCTGCCAGCCTCCCGGACTCCGAGGGTGGGCGCGGCCAGCAGGCTGCTAATGGGCCGTGGGCCTCTCACGACACGTCCGGCACACGCAGCAAGTGTGAGCGTGAGCGCTGTGGTTCTGTGGTGATGTTACTTCCTTCATCGCCAAAGGAGCAGTACACCCAGAAAGAGGGATGGGAGACTTACCATCCCCCTTCTCAGGCTAGTGCCGGCTCCCGAGGCCCAGCGTCCTTCACAAAATGACAGTGGCCCCCTCCCTGGGCCGCTGTGAGAATCAGACGCTCAGCACAGCACCTTCCAGAGAATTGGCACTCAGATGGGCACCAGCTGCTGCCATGTGGCTTCTGGGGGAGGTGGATTTTCTCAGAGGAGCCCGAGGAGCAGAGGGCTCCCGGCCAGTCTCCCCAGCTAACAGACAAGGGTCCCCTGGGCCCGCCCCACCTGGAGGTCACCTGGCTCTGGCACTTGGCTTCAGTGCCCTCCCCTGTCACAGTTTCTCCCCTAGAGCGTAAGCCCACGAGAGCAGGGCCTCCTCGGTCTGTTTACCACTGTTTCTCCAGCCCCTGCAATTAAATCAGGCTGGTGGACCTGAATACCCAAAAGCGAAAGAGTGGGCTTCCAGGGTGAGGGCGGCCCCCTGGAGTTACCTGCAGTGTGGTTTGTGGGTTCACTCGTGCAGAAACCTCCTAGCCCTCCTCCCTGGGCAGGAAGGAGCAGCTCAGGGTGTTACAAGTGTGTATGGAGACCGTGCTCTCGTGTCTGGCTGGGAAGTGTCCGTGAGAACATGGCATGTGACCTGAGAGGGACTAGTTGGAATCAAATAGGCAAACAGGGAGCAGGAAAGGCATTCCAGGCAAAAGGAACAGCATGTGCAAAGGCCCTGAAGTCTAAAGGCTATTGTCCAGGGAATTAGCGTGGAGAAAGAAGTGAGGGAGACAGGTAGGGGCCTCACCATGCAGGGCCTTTAGGGCTAAAGATTAGGAATTTGGGTCTGTTTCCTGCGAGGAATGTGAGCCCCTTAAGCGGCGGCACTGAATACTGTTAAGAAAATACCCTGAAGTCAGACACCCTGAGTTCCAGTACAGACTGCACCACTACTCGGTGTGACCTTGGGCAAGTCACTCCTCTCTGTGCCTCAGTTTCCTCCTCTGAACATGGAGCCAGTAATCAGGTGTGCTTCTCTCCAGTCATATCCCCCTCCCACTAGAGATAACCAATATCCTGACTCCCGTGATTATCGTCTCCTTCTTTTCTTCATAGTTTTGCTCCCTGTACATGCATCTCTAAATAATATAATTTGTTTGCCCATTTTGAACGTAATGTGAACGGAATCGTACAGTACGTGCTCCTGTGCATCTGGCGTCTGTCTTTCAACATTGTTTGTGGAATTCACCCCTTTGGTGGCCACAACTCCTTCCTTTTCGTGGCTGTGTATTTTTCCACACTGTGAATATACCGGTTTGTTTCCCCATTCTTTTGACTGACATTTGAAGATACTTGTGCCCGTATCCCAGGGACATGTGTACGATTTTTCTAGGCTCTGATCGTAGGAGCGCAAGTGCTGGGCCATTAATTTAGCCTGTCTAGGCTCAACAGCTATTGCTAAAAAGTTGTCCAAGGTGGTTGTACCAATTTACACACCTCACCAGCCACAGAAAGGGTTCCCGTTGCTCCACATCCTCCCCAGCCCTGGGCATGGTCATGGCGTTCCTTGTAGGCATTCCGGCGGTGTCTGAGCTGCAGGACCCCCAGCAACGGGAAAGAGCTGCAGCTGCTCCACATCCTCCCCAGCCCTTGGTACTGTCAGACTTAAATGTGTACCAGCCTGTTGGGTGTAGAACGTAAGATTGCCTTTTTACCTAAATTTATTTAATTTTCAAGAGTGGAGTTAAGTGAAAACATCGAGTTAAAAACTAACGCAGATGGTGCATGGGATATGGCAGGAGCCCAGAGGTTTGGGAAACGGGCTGCTGACTGGCGTTTCTGTTCCAGCCGACTCCACGGGGACCCACTCCCTCTACACGACGTACCAGGACTACGAGATCATGTTCCACGTCTCCACCCTGCTCCCGTACACCCCCAACAACAGGCAGCAGGTCAGTGGGGCCCAGGCCGGGGCCCACAGTGATTTCCGGTTGATGCACAGCTGAAACCCGAGACACTCCCCTCCCCACGCCATTAGCTGGCTGCGTGCCCGGCATTGGCTCTCCTGTCCCCATCCTGTGCGCAGATCGAGGCCTTTGGCCATGGCGACCCTCTGAGCCACGGTCACCTCGCCTGGGGGTTGGAGACTCGGTCAGGTGCATTTGATGTCATTTTTTCCTAGCTGTTCCTTGGGCACCCTACTTGCCTCTAGCTACCCCAACTCCCCTCCAGGGTCTCTTGAGCCTTCAGGAGTCTTATGGGAAAAAAAGGGTGAATCAGTCAACGTTATTTTGACCACAAGTGACAGAAATGCAAACCAAATTGGCATAAGCAAAAAATGGGGTTTATTGGGTTATATAACTCTCAGATGCTGGGAGAGGGCTGGCTTTAGGTATGGTTGGATCCAGGAGCTCAAACAATATCAGGAAACCTTTCCATTTCTCACCTCTGTTTTTCTTCATGGTGGTCTTATTCACAGGTTTTCCCAAGTGGCAAGAAAGACGCCCCCTAGCAGCCCCCAGCTCACATCCCACCAGCGTAGCCACCCCAGGGGAGAGAGAGCTGTGCCTTCCAAGTGTCCCTGAGACGTGTCAGGGCTGAATCTCACTGGACCATTCACTTGCCAGTCCTGGGCCTGGGAGGGGATGGAGCAAGCTGATTGGGCAAACCTGAAGCACAGCCCCACCCTTAGAGAGGGCAAGTGGGGTCAGACAACCAGAAACATCGACAGAGATCAGGGGTGTTTTCCCAAGGGGCATGGACGTGGCTGCCCGAAGAAGGAGGAAGTGGTTCTGGGTGGGCTGCCAGGGGCTCCTCCTGGACACACTGTGTGGACTCAGTCGGGGAACACCACTTCCTAGCTTCTAATGACCAGAAACCCTGCAGACTGTTGATGGTTTCGCAAGTGTATATTTTTTCCATCGGTACAGGCGAGGTTGCAGATTTTATAGGCCGGAGATGGTCAGGTGTCAGTGATTTCCCCAGGTTAACCTTCAAGCGTGCTGGGAGAGTGTTGGTCTCAGAGTTAGACCTGAGTTCTGGTTCTTTCTTAGCTGTGTGATTCTTCTCTCGGAGCCTCGGGGCCCTCTGTGAATTGGGTGGAATGCTGGCACCCATGTCTTGGGGTCACTGGGAAAGGTCCCTGTGCTCATGCATGAAACCAGAGCACGAGGCAGGGCCCGGCGCACAGGAGGGGTCCGGGAGGCAGGCAGTGCTGGTCCTGGGTATTCGGGAGGCGTGGTAGAGAAGAGCTTGGCTTGTAGAGTCCAGCAGAAGTGGGTTCACATGCTGGCTCTTTCCCTCCATGACTGTGTGACCTAGGACAAGTCGTTTAACCAGTAGAAGAGGGTAGGATGAGTTCATGCCTCAGGGGGTTTTGTGAAGATTAGATGAGATTGTGACTTTAGGATGTGGATGTGAAATACCTAGCACAGGGCCGGCCCCAGTAATGGGTGCTTCATCTAGCAATTTAATTTAATCCAGTTTCAAACACACATAAAGAACTAACAGCTCAGTAGTGTGAGTTGTGCTGCTCCATGTTTCCGGATTTCACACCGTGGGCACCTCGTGTAGAGCCACACGTGACTCCGTCTGTGGACCTCACGTGACCAACGGGGATTCCTAACAGTTCCGAGAAGGCTGAACTTGTGTAGTTCAGTGTACAGTGTGATTTCAGCAGACAAGTAAAATGCTGTGGATACATCATCGCCTGCGAAAATAGGAGTCTTCTACAGAGACTGTGATGGGCAGGGGGAGAGGACAGGGCTCCCGTATGGCAGCGTGAAGTCGCAGCTGCCCTGGCCTTGGAAAGCCCAGGTGTCTGGGAAGGGACGGCGGCCTGGGTGGGAACGGGGAGACACTGAGGAGGCTGCTGTGGTGGTTTGGGCAGAACCCTGGTGCCGACCTCACATGTGCCTCTCCCTACTCTGTGTCCCACTTACCAGCTACTAAGGAAGAGGCACATAGGGAACGACATCGTGACGATCATCTTCCAGGAGCCAGGGGCGCTGCCCTTCACCCCCAAGAACATCCGCTCCCACTTTCAGCACGTCTTCATCATTGTCCGAGCCCACAACCCCTGCACGGAGAACGTCTGCTACAGGTACACGCCTCCACATGGGCTCCCGGGAGCACCCCCGACACAGGAAGTCACAGAAAAAGGCATTGTGCAGAGAGAGAGACAGCGGGCAGCCGGCCTGGGTGCTGCCTCCTGAGTTTCCTATTTGTGCTCAGTGGGGGAGCTCTGCCCACATGTTCCCGCACCTTCTGAGAGAGTGATTCTCAACCAGAAGGGGGCGTGTCGCCCCAGTTCTGGTGAGGAAACCACTAGGGGTTTGTATTTGCCTGGAATCTTTTGGTTGCGAGTGACAGAAAACCCGCCTCCATCTGGCTGAAGACAAAAAGGCAGTTGTGTATATACTGGCTCTCACAAATGACGGTCCAGGCTGGATCTGGTCCACTTTCCTGTACCATGCTTCATTTGCTGGCAGCTCTGAGCCTAACATCCTCCTAGCTGCAAGTCCAGCAAAAAGAGAGCTTTCCCTCCCAAGAGAAGAAGCCCCAGCATGGAGGCTCGTTGACCTGGGTAGGGGTCGGGTGCCCATCCCGGAGCAAAACCAGCACCACGCCTGGGCAGCGGCACATGGACTGGGGCACGGGAGTGATGGCTCATGGGAATCAGGACGTGGAAGCATGGGGGCAGGCCAGGCGGGGCCCCTCGGGAGGTGAGCTGCTTGTTTTAGTTCAAAGATCAGCAAGTGGCACAGGCCTTAGACCCATTCAGCATCCTCCCCACACACCAGTTATCACCCGGTGGCTGGCCCCCAAAGGCCACGTGGGAAGCTCTGTGAGTGCGGGCTAGGATAGAGCTGTGGTACTTGAAAGCCAGCCCATCACTCACCCAGGCCAGGCCGAGGGCGGCCCTTGTCCCTGGAGCGGCACTGCAGCCTCTGGGGATGGGCTGGGGAGATACAAACGGTAAGACAAACAGGCAAAAAGATCAGAGTCTGCCTCCCCCCTCTGACCCCCAACCACCCAGTCGCCCTCACAGAGGCAACCCCTGTGAGCAGTGTCTTGTGTCCTGAGGTTTTATGCACATACAGGCGAGTATTTATAAGCATTTCTTTTCCAGCTTCGTAATACAAATGGTGATGTGTCACATGCTCTGTTCTGCATCCTGTATTTTTTCACTCAGGAATCTTTGAGATCTTTCCAAACCAGTACATGGAGTGCTTTTCCATTCCTCCTGACTGCGAATATCCCATCGTATGGATGCATGAGGCTCTTCCCGCATCCCTGTCGATGGGCATTTGGCCTGTTTCCTGTCTCCCGCTGTCACAGTCCATCCTGCCACGAGTAACCTTGTGTATATTCTCATTGCACACATGTCCAGTTATACAGCTGGGATAGATAAATTCCTGAAAATGGAGTTCCTGGGTCAAAGGGTATGTGCATAGGTGCACTGGGAGTCTTGGTGGAATTCCCAGAATCTCCCAGTTTCTTGGCCAGGTATATGAGAGAAGGAGAGGGATTCCAGTCTGCAGCACTTGCTGTTAAGAACCACTGTGCTGGGGCCGGCCCCGTAATGTAGCGGTTAAGTGTGCGCCCTCAGCTGCGGCGGCCCAGGGTCTGCAGGCGTGCACTAATGCACCACTTGTCAAACCATGCTGTGGCAGTGTCCCATATAAAGTAGAGGAAGATGGGAACGGATGTTAGCCCAGGGCCAGTCTTCCGCAGCAAAAAGAGGAGGATTGGCAATGGATGTTAGCTCAGGGCTAATCTTCCTCACGAAAAAATAGAACCACTGCACTGGATGTTGCCCAAGTGGCTGCTGGGAGCCAGGACACTGTCGCAGGGCCTCCTGTGTGCCCAGTCCCAGGCCTGAGGCCCCGAGTCCCCTCGCCCCCACCCGATTGTTCCCAGGACGTTCAGCAGCAGCTGTAAGTGCCTGCACCTCGGGCTCTGTGTGGGCCTGAGGTCACTCAGGTGATGTCCAATGTTCCTCAGCAGCTGAGAGGTGGCGCTGGTGAGGGAAGAGGCCATTGTGCACACACACACCCCTCCGGGAGCACATCAGAGGCAGGGGACTGAGCTGGGTGGGCCCTCCACCCCTTCCCACCCCCCGACCTGGGCTATCCCATGAGCCTGCAGCCGACCTCCCACCCTTCCAGGCCAGCCTTTGCATGGTCTCCAGGCTGATTTCTATTCTCTGACGTGCAAACCTTCCTTGTTTTTTACAATTTAACTTAATATATTTTTATGTAATATTTTAAACATTCTGAAAAGTACAGAAAATAATGTAACAGACACCCCGTGCCTACCACCAGATTTAACAGACGTTAACATTTTGCCACATTTGCCTCTGCTCTCTCTCTTTTCTTGATTTTTAAAGAAAGAAAATGTTACAGATACAACCAAAGCTCCCCTGCCCGCTCCCTTCCCCTCCCCTCCTTCCCCTCCCCTCCTTTCTCTCCCCTCCCCTCCCCTCCTTCCCCTCCCCTCCTTCCCCTCCCCTCCCCTCCCCCCCCTCCCCTCCCCTCCTTCCCCTCCCCTCCTTCCCCTCCCCTCCCCTCCCCTCCTTCCCCACAGGCAGCTGCTCTCTGGACATACCTTACCCTGTCCCTCTTGTGTCCCCAAACATGTTTCTGTCACAACACTCATCACACTGTAAACAAGACTTATTTATGTGGTTCTTGCCTTCCTTGAAGGTAAGCCCGTGTCAGTCCCCTTCATATATCCATCCTGGCACGGTACTTGCTGTGTAGTAGGCCCCAAAGACGTTTTTGCTGGCTAGACATGCCTGGCCCAAACATCGTAGGCACTGAGAAAGTAATCGTTGAGTAAATAATTGTGAGTATTCTAGAAATACTGAGCTACAGTGACCAGGTGACCTGGTGCTCACACCGTCTCCTGGTTTGTAACAAGTTGCCATCCTTTCTTGTTTGAAGTGTTCTGTTTCTGCAAGGCCCCAGCCTCCCTGCAGCCTGTGGGCTGTGAAAACCCTGTCCCTCCTGCTGGGACCTGAGGGACCAGCTGTTCTGATTGTCCAGAAAGCCTCAGCAGCTTGCAGTTTCGTGATTCTTTTAAAATCATGAATCAGGACTGTGGGAAAATCTGTCACTGTAAGCAGCCAAGTGCTGAATGAAGCCGTTGCAAAGCCATCCACATCTGGAAAGCACAGTCTGAATGCGCTGTTAATTAGAGTAGCGAGACTGGCGAGGCCGTCTCATCCATCCCGCTGCCCGGGGGCCGGGCCACTCCCACGAGTTTTCCCACAGAAGGAAACCTGCCTGGTGTGTGTGGCCTTTGAAGAGCCTCTCTGCTGGGAAATACCTTTTCTGTCTAATCTACACCCGCAGCACAATGGTAGAAATCTGTTACTTCTTGGTCTGTCCAGGTTTAAATCATTACCTTGGGCCGGCCCCCTGGCTTAGCGGTTAAGTGCGCGCGCTCCACTGCTGGCGGCCCGGGTTCGGAACCCCGGGCGCGCACTGACGCACCGCTTCTCCGGCCATGCTGAGGCCGCGTCCCACATACAGCAACTAGAAGGATGTGCAGCTATGACATACAACTATCTACTGGGGCTTTGGGGGAAAAAAATAAATAAAATTATAAAAAAATAAAAAAAAATTAATCATTACCTTAATCAACATGGAGCAGCTGTGTGGGTGCTGGGGGACCAGCCAAGCCCAGGGTTGCACCTGCCCACGTGGCACTCTCTGGACGTGGAGAAGGGTCGCGGATAGTGGACGGTGGAGGGGGAGAGCGAGGCGCTGGCCTGATCCGCCTGTGTCCGCAGGAGCTCCCTCAGTGGTCTCCTGCGCGTGCTCTGGTCCCTGCCAGTCCTTTCTTCATGGGCAGCCACGGGCATCTTTGCAGATGTCAGGCTGGTTGTCACTCTGCTGGCACCTGCATCCATCAGGGGCCCAGCAAGAAGCAGGTGCCTCCCTCACGGTTTTACCTGAAGGAGCTGAGGAACTGACAGAGGCGTGGCCGGGTTAAGGGAACCGATACAGGAAAGTGAGGCATCTAGGGACCAGCAACAGCAGGGAGCCATTGCCCCACCCCCTCAGCTTGATGAGGTTGGAGGGAGATGGGAGAAGTTTCTGGAAGCTGGGGAGAGGTATGGCTCTGGGAGGGGGGCCACCCGACAGGAGCTGTGGCTGTGAGGGAGGGACCGAGTGAGCAGTAGGCACAGCCACTGCCTCTGTCCCGGCCCAGCAGGGAGGCAGTGAAGAGAAAGTACCCCACCTTCTCCCGCCTGCCACCCTCCCCTCGCCTGCCAGTGCTTCCTGTTGGCAAAAAGCTGGAAGCCAGAGGACGGAAGAAGCCAGGTGAAGGTGACACCACGCCTAGAGACCCACCTTCCTGCACTGAGCCGGGCAAAGACTGGGTCTGGGGGCCGGCGCCCAGATGGTTGAATGGTTGCTTGCTCTCGTGATGAGGATGAAAAGTGCTAACACACTGTCAGGTGTGGCCTGGCCCCTAGTGACCTTACCAGCCTCCCACTCCTCCCTGTCTGGGCTCCTTGACCCTGGCCTCCCGTACTCAATCTTTCCCAGCAGGCCTTGCGTGTGCCGTGCCCATGGCCTGCAGCGCCCTCCTCTCAGCTCTTCCTCTGGCTCCTGCTCAGCCTCGCCTCCCAGCTTCATTGTCAATTCCTCAGGAGGCCCTCTTGGATTCCCCTGTCCAGATCAGGCCCTTCTATTGCTCTCTCATACCTCCTTCACTTTCTTTGTGTTTATAAGTCCAGTCGTGAGCGAGTTTGTTTAGTATGTCTCCTTCTAGATGAGAAGCTCGGGAGCCAGGGACCACTACATCCCCAAGGGAGAGGGGTCCTGGAAATGCTACGCAAACAGTGCATCGATGTTGCACCGCTCCCTTGTCAGAGTGGGGGGGGCGGGGGGGAGTCGAAACCTGAGCCTTACACTGTGTTTGGGTTTCATGGAATATGTTTTAATCAGGAGTCTTATTATTTAAAAAACTATCCTAGGTAGGAAGAGAAAGAGTAGAAGTCTCCCCTAACGCCGTACTCACAAGTGGAGGTTTTTTTTTTTTTAAAGATTTTATTTATTCAGTTTTTTCCCCCCAAAGCCCCAGTAGGTAGTTGTATGTCATAGGTTCACATCCTTCTAGTTGCTGTACGTGGGACTCGGCCTCGCGTTGCACGGAGAAGTGGTGCCTCGGGGCGCTCCCGGGATCCGAACCCGGGCCGCCAGCATCAGAGCGCGCGCACTTAACCGCTAAGCCACGGAGCCGGCCCTACAAGTGGAGGTTTTTATAGAGGATGAATACAGTCCTCTTGAAGGAAAACTTAGTGAACTTATCGCTGCTGGTTTACAACTCTAACCATTTGGTGTTTGGTTTTTGTGTTTTGTTGTTTTGGTGAGGAAGATTGGCCATGAGCCAACTCTGTTGCCAGTCTTCCTCTTTTTGCTTGAGGAGGATTGTCCCTGAACTAACATCTGTGTCAGTCTTCCTCTGTTTTGTATATGGGACATCACCACAGCATGGCTTGGTGAGCAGTGTGTAGGTCCATGCCCAGGATGCAAACCTGCGAACCCTGGGCCACCGAAGCAGAGTGCGCAAACTTAACCACTACACCACCCGGCCGGCCCCCGACTCTTAGCATTTTTAATCGTCATTGTGTAAACAGCGAAACTCAGGGAGTCTCTGTGGCCCCTTTAAATGTCTTTCAGTGGGTCATCTTCCCGGCCCTGGGGTGATCACTCTGGCAGGTGCCGTAGCCTTTTTGCTCTAGGTTAGAAATCATCTTGGGCTGGCCCCGTGTCTTAGCAGTTAAGTGCGTGCGCTCTGCTGCTGGCAGCCCGGGTTCGGATCCCGGGCGCACACCGACGCACCGCTTCTCTGGCCACGCTGAGGCCGTGTCCCACATACAGCAACTAGAAGGATGTGCAACTATGACATACAACTATCTACTGGGGCTTTGGGGGGAAGATAAAGAATTAATAAAATTAAAAAAAAAAAAGAGAGAGAAATCATCTGCCCTGTAGGCCCTGAGTGTCCACTCGATTTGGTCATTAGAACATCACATCCAAGATATTCATCCAATCTCCAAACTTGACTTATTAGCAAATCTTCTCCCATATCCCAGCTCAGGACGGCTTCTGCCTGGAAGCCTCTGGAAGCCTCGGTGGATGGAGAGCCTGCTTTCCTCTCCTCTGCTTCTCCACCTTGCACTTCTCCACCCCAGCCCACTCACTGCCAGTTTCTGACCTGTCCAGGATTGTAGCTCAGGGAGGAAGCGAGAGGCAGGGAAGTGTCTCTGGGACTGTGGTGACAGCTGGCTGCGTGCACTCTCGGCTCCCTGCCCTCTAGATCTAGAGCCCCCCAGGAAGGAGCAGACCCAGTCTCCTCCCGACTTTAAGGGCCACCTAGGAGCCCCTGCCTAGGGGAGGGGGGACAGAGGTAATGGGGTCACCGCCCAGCTCTCTCCGAAGATTTCCCCCCAGTAAGATCCTCCTTCTCTATAGTTTGTGTGGTGGGTGAGGAGGCTCAGAGGTTTTGGGGAACAGGTTTTAGATCATTGCCTTTTTACGTTCTCACTCAGTTGCTGTCTGATTTCTATCATAATGGAATCTCTGTCAAAACTAAAGTAGGAAGGGTCCCGTTCTAACTTCCTGTTCCAGTGAATTTTCAAAATAACCTTTGGGAAGATGATTTAGTGTAGTAAACAGTGTTACACAGGTATTTGAAAGAACTAACTCACATAAATGTTCCGTGTCAGTCGGGTGTTCCTCCAGTAATGCTGCTTAACAAACCACCGCAAAATGCGGTGGCTCACAAATGTTGGCATTTCTTTCTGGCTCACGGGAAACTGGCAGCTGAGGTGGGGTCTGGCTAGCCGTGGCTCTAGGCTGCAGGTGGGGTCCAGGTCTGCTCCAGGGTCTCTCATCCTTCTGGGACCGGTAGGCCCCACACACACTTGAAAGCCATTGGCCAAGTCAGGTCACATGACCAGGCCCAGGATCGATGGGCTTGCTTGTGAAGGTGAGGAGGAAGCCGTGAATTTTTGCCAAACTATAATCTAACGTACTACACAATCTGTGTATACAAAGAGGATAACTGAAGTTGAACGATGCTAGGAGAACTGTTCTTTGAATGTCAGTGGATGTTCTAATGTCTGCTGTATAGGAAGTAAAAATGCATGTATGTGCCCTAAGACTTTCTAAAGTTTTCGATCTAGTTAGCTAGCAACTTACTAATTAGATGTAGATTTCCATTCTTAAACAGGAAACTCCAGGGGCCGGCTCGGTGGCATAGCGGTTAAGTTTGCACACTCTGCTTCAGCAGCCTGGGGTGCACAGGGTCAGATCCCGCGCATGGACCTACGCACTGCTCATCAAGCCATGCTGAGACGGCATCCTGCATACAAAATAGAGGAAGATTGGCACAGATGTCAGCTCAGGGCCAATCTTCCTCACAAAAATGAAAAGAAAAACTCCTATTTGTGAGCATATATTTTCTTTCTAGAGTGAATGTCAAGTGCTTTTCTGTCTTCTAAATGATTTCTCCCTCCTCAGTATGGCTGTGACCCGATCCAAAGACGCCCCTCCTTTCGGCCCCCCCATCCCCAGTGGAACCACCTTCCGCAAGTCTGACGTCTTCAGAGACTTCCTGCTGGCCAAGGTGATCAACGCCGAGAACGCAGCGCACAAGTCCGACAAGTTCCACACCATGGCCACCAGGACCCGCCAGGAGTACCTCAAGGACCTGGCCGAGAACTGCGTCTCCAACACGCCCATTGACTCCACTGGCAAGTTCAACCTCATCTCCCTGACCTCCAAGAAGAAGGAGAAGACCAAAGCCCGGGCAGGTGCCGAGCAGCACAGCGCAGGGGCCATCACCTGGAGGGTGGCGGCTCAGGACTATGCCCAGGGGGTCGAAATCGACTGCATTTTGGGAATTTCTAACGAGTTTGTGGTGCTCCTGGACCTCCGCACCAAGGAGGTGGTGTTCAACTGCTACTGCGGGGACGTCATTGGCTGGACCCCAGACTCCTCGACGCTCAAGATCTTCTACGGGCGAGGGGACCATATCTTCCTCCAGGCTGCAGAGGGCTCTGTGGAGGACATAAGGGAAATCGTGCAGAGACTGAAGGTAAGGGAGGGAGCTCAGCCAGGGGCAGCAGTTCTGCGGTTGGTGGAGGCCTCAGGGACCACTGACACGCCTCCCTCCCCCAGCCCTGTCAGTTAGGCCAAGACACTAATTGGCCCCAAGAGAATCAGCATTGCCACTTACACACTAGGCGTCTGGTGGGTCCTGCAGCCAAGTCCCTTTTGGGGAAGGTTTGGGCCACGGGTCCAAGGCTCTCCATGCCATCACCTTGGGAGGACAAAGACACGTTTATTCACTCTAGATGTTGATAGAAAATATGTTTAAGCTTATGTTAAAAATGTAAGAGTACTTTCTGGAAGACTTAAAATAGAAAGAAAAGCTTCCAGGCCATAGAATGAAAAGCTTCCAGGCCATTAAAAGATAGGGCATAAGGAGGGAGGTGGTGGGAATATAAAAAAGCCTGATAAACAAAACAACCATAAAATTCTATGGCAGGAATAAGTCCACATCAGTAATTACAGTAAATGTGAATGGTTTAACTTCCCCTATTAAAAGACAAAGACTCACAGTCTGGGTAAAAATCTTACCCTAAACTCCTGGTGGACAGCTCGGGCTCAGTCCATGGGCCAAACCAAGGGTGGCAGATTGGTTTCAAGTCAGATGATAGTTTAGTTGGTAAGGGCTGAATGAGGCTAAGAGGTTGTGCTAAGAAGTACTCAGGCCACATCTGAGCTTGAGGAGGTGACTGGCTCTCAGTGGGTTTAGCAGGATGGTGTGTCGTGCATGCAAAATAGAGAAGGAGTTAAGAACACAGGTTCTGGAGTCACAAGGCCTGGCACTGCCACTTCCCGACTGTGTGACCTTGAGCCAAGTTCTTAACTGCTCTGTGACTCAGTTTCCCCATCTGAAAAATGGGAATGATAATCATCCTACATCACGTGAAAGTTTGAAGGACTGGATGAGTTATGTGGCCCACACAAGCTTGCCTGACTTGGTGGGCTGTGACCTCCTGATGCCACCGTGTCTGCTGGCTGTGCTCACCCTTCTGGGCCTTTGCACTCTCTCATTCTCTTCAGGTGGGGTTGGTAAAGCTCTGCGCTCAGCTTACCTGACTCCAGAATTCATGCCCAGCTGTAGGTAACAATATCTAGTGCTGAGATTTCCCATTAGAATGTGAGGTCCATGCACCAGGGCCTCCGTGCTTGCTTGCTGATCTCGTGTGCATAAATCAGGGCTGGCCCATTGTAAGCGTTCAATCAATACTGAGTAGTTTGTTAACTGAATGAGTCTGTTGAACCCTGACTCTGTGCTAATGAGCATTTTACATGCATGATGGCATACTCTTCCACCCCTCGACTGTAGATACTGTTCTTATCCCCACCTGACAGATGAGGAGACTGAGGCACAGAGAGGTTTAGATGCTCACATGAGGTCATACGGCCAGTAGGTGGCAGACTGGGGTCTAAATCCAGGTTTTTCTGACTCCAAAACCCATTTGTGCCCAACCTCGAGACTGGTAGCTGTTTACTCAGCATCTCCAGTGGGGTGTCTATAAACCCCTGAAACTCAACGTGTCCAAGGGCTAACTCCTGGTTTTCCTCGCCCTGCCTCCCGGCGTTTTCCTATCTCTGTACAGGACAGTCCGTCACTCCATTTGTTGAGGTCAGAAGCCTTGGCGTCAGCCTCGCCCCCGTCTTTGTCCCACACCCATATCCAGTCTGTCAGCTCCACCTCCAACAGGTGGACTCCAGCCACTTCTCCCTCTTCCACAGCCTCCCCCGGCCTCCCCTGGACTGTCCAGGAGTCGCCTCGCTGATGTGCCTTACCCCCACCCTTGCTTCCCTGTGGTCAGTTCTCAGTAAGGTAGTCAGAGGGATCCGATCACGTCACCGCTCTGCTCAGAACCCTCAGCCCGCTCTAGGTAGAAGCCGAGGTCCTTACGGTGGCCAGTGAGGCCCTGCATCATCCGGCTGCCTGCCGACCTCCCTGACCTCGTCTCCCCATCGTGCTCTCTGCTCCAGGCACAGAGACCTCTGCTGTTTTCGGGGTGTGCTAGGCAGGCATCCAGCCTCAGGGCCTGTGCCCTCTCGCTGGAACACTTTCTTTGACCTTATGTGGCTCCCTCCCTCCCCTCTTACAGGCCTTCAGTTAGATGTTACCTCCTCAGTGAGACCTCATGATCTAAAATTGCAAGCCCCCCTCCCCAACTTGGCCCCGAGCGTATTCCCCCGTTTTCATGTTCTCCATGGCACTTGCCACTGTCTGACACACATTCATGTATTCACTGTTCCCCCCTGTGTTCTCAGCACCCAGGCCAGCATCTGGCATGCAGTGGGTGCTTGGTGAACATGTATGGAATGTGTGCGCACCTGCTGCGAGAACCAACGTTTATGGAGGCTAACTGTCAGACCCGCCTCAGTGCCTTGCACATCTTTGCATCTCTTCCTTGCAAAAGCCCAGTGAGGGAGATACCATTACCATCCCCACATCACGGATGAGGAAACTGAGGCCCAGAGGGGTAAAGCGACTCGCCCAAGGCCCAGAGTGGGTTCAGCACCGGGGTTCTTGAACATGGGGGCATTCTTCCTCCCAAACCCTGACAGCAGCTCGCGTTCCTCGAGCAGTGGCCACACCAGGCGCTGGGCCAGGTGACATCTTACCCACATCCTCTCTGTGCCGCCCTGCCCCACGCCCGCCCCTGTGCCTACTGTTGGCATGGTGCTTGTAGAGCTCATTTCCACAGTCCCCCTCACAGGCTCAGTGCCCCAAAGCCCACTGAGGAGCCAGGGGCCCAGGATGGGATGACATAGCCATCTTCTGTGACGGGACAGGCCCATCTTAAATGAACCACAACAGCGAGTCTGTCTCCTCTGTGACGGCCTCCAAGGTGAAGGCCCACACCCTCCCCCAGCAGAGCTGGGACACAGACTTCCTTCATTAGTGAAGTCGACCAGTTTTATGATGTGCCTGGCCCTGGGCTGGGCAGTGCTCAGCCACGGCAATGATCATAGTGGGCCCGGGGCTGCCCTCCTGAGGTTCCCATCCAAGGCAGATATTGAACAAGGAATTACAAGTGCCTGGAGGTTTCAAGAGGGAGTGTTGAGGAGGCCAGGGGAACCTGTCATGGGGGCAGTCTCAGACCTACAGGAGGGGTGCAGCCCCCAGACATACTTAATTAGTTACCAAAGCTTAACATTCAGGCAATTTCATATGGATCTCGCTTTTTGGCTTTGATACTGAACCAAGTGGGCTCGCCTCCTGGTGAGTTAAATAAGAATCTCTACACCAGTGGAAGTTGTATCACAAAGTAAAGTGTATTTGCAGCAAATAGGAGGCCATGAGGAATCGTTTCCAAAGTCATGGCGTCCCTGAACAAAGGAAAGCAGGAAGTTTTATTTCACTTGGGGAATGAATATTCAAAAGAGAGAGGCGGGTATTCGCTTGCACAGGCTCAGTTGGAAAACATGCTTCCACATAATGAGGCCCTAGCTCCTCCTGGAGAGATCTTTACATTAAAAATAAGGCAAAGGTCATGGTCGCAGCTCTTGTGGGGAGGCTTGGTCAGTTTCAGGGTGGCTGGTGGTTATATCTCCTTAACATACAAAAGGAAAAGAAACAACTTGGAAAAACAGTTAATTGCTTCCAAACCCACCTTTGAGTTTCTTGAGGCACCTAGTTGGTGACAGCTTCTCTTGAGAAACTGGGGGATCTGGCTGTGCTGGGCCTATGTTTGCACAAGGCAGTGGTCAGCTGAAGCCGGGTGGTGGGTGCCCCCTTTAGAGGGGGCCCGAGTGCGCCATTTGGCCGTGGTCCTCTCCTGCCCGCATCTCATTGACGTCACCCACCAAGTGCCCCACCTTGTGAGGTTGGGGCGTTGGGAGGGGGCGTTCCTTGAGGAAATGACTTCTAAACTGAGACTAGAACAGTAAATAAGAATTATCCTGGTGAAGAATGAGGGGGAAATAAATGAAAGAATAAATGGGGGGCAGCAGGGAATACACAGTGGCTAAAGGCAGGAGTTCAGGAGATGGACCTGCCTTATGACCCTGGGCCACAGACACCCCCTCAGTTTCCGCATCTGTAAAATAAGCAAATTAGGTGAACCTACCTCGTAAGTGAGATATTAGCACAATTGGGCCTATAAAGAGCTTACCGGTGCCTGACACACAAAGCTCAGTCCCCAGGAGAATTAGCTTTGGAAGGGGGACCTGGGGCCGCGTGGCTGCGTGACATGGCACAGGTTCCTGTGAATTGGTTTGTGTGTCGGGCTCTGAAGGTGTTCGTGGGGCCATTCTGGGACCTTGTAAACATCAAGAATGGTTCTCTTCTTCGGGTGGGGCTTGGTTTGTTACGAGAGCGAAGGGGAGAGAAGTTTCCGGATGTTGAGACAGAGCAGCTGAGCTAACCTGCCGGCTCCCCCTTCCTTATTGAAAACGATCCGGAGCAGCTGTGGGGGGGGGGGCCAGTTACAGCCTGAGCTGCTGGGAGACGGAGAAAGCCAGGGGCTGCGAGCAGCGCTCAGGCAGGGCAAGGGCAGGGACAGCCCAGGGACTCACGGCCTTCCATCCCCTGGCTCCTCCTTTCCCTTCCATACTGGACTTAACCGCATGGTCAGAGCGGAGTTGCTCCATATCCGTGCTCCCGTCTGCAGGGAGGGAGAGCGTGAGCCTGGAGGGCAAGCAATTTCATTTCTGAGAACATGAAGTAGAAGTTCCATCGCTTCTGCTCATATCCTGTTGGCCAAAACCAAGTCTTGTGTCCACACGCAGCTGTGAGGGAAGCTGAGAAATGTGGTCCCCGACTAGGTGGCCCTGTGCCCATCAAATCTCTGTTTTGCGGTGTGTGTGTTGGGGAGGTCTTATTCCTAAAAGGAAGAAGGGGAGATGGAGAACAGCAGGCAGTTAGCAGTCCCTGCTGCGGTGGTGTCCGAGCCATCCGGGCCTCGGGCACGCACCGTCAGAACAGCCCAGGACTCCCAGGGCTGTGTGGCCTCCTCAGTCACAGGCAGGGACACCCAGGACTTTTCCCTATAACCCACAGCCTCATTCTTTGGACACAGAGGTGACTGCTTCAAAGGGAAGAAGAATTTTGACTCCCAAAGCAGAAGAAATGGGCTAGGACGAAGCGAGTCACAGCTTTCTTTTTTGAGGCGCTAAGCAGTAGGCTTTCCTTTGAAACCAATTTTTTTTTTTTTTTTTTGGTGAGGAAGATCGGCCCTGAGCTAACGTCTGCCAATCCTCCTCTTTTTGCTGAGGAAGACTGGCCCTGGGCTAACATCTATGCCCATCTTTCTCCACTTTATATGGGACGCTGCCACAGCATGGCTTGCCAAGTGGTGCGTCGGTGTGCACCCGGGATCCAAACTGGCGAACCCCAGGCCGCCGCAGCGGAGCGCGCCCACTTAACTGCTTGCGCCACCGGGCTGGCCCCTCAAACCAATTTTTTAAACTCTTAATTATGGAAAATTTCCAACACAGAAAAAGTAGAGGGACTCACATTGTGAACTGCTAACCCCACCACCAGCTTCCACAGCCCTCAGCCCATGGCCAGTCTCGTCTCTTCCTGCCCTCCCTTACCTTCCTCTTGAGTATTTTGAAACAGATCCTCGACATCCTGTCATTTCGTCTATAAGCATTGCATTATTTAGCTCTAAAGCATACAGATGCTTAAAAAAATAACTATTTTGTCATTATCATACATAAAGAATTAACAATAATTCATTATTGTCATACAAACAAGTTGGGCTGTGAGATCAACTACTAGGTCTCAATCGACAATTTTGAAGGATCAGATAGGAAAGAATAAATAGATCAGCATACATCCCAGTGAGCAAGGATAAGTACTGTTTTGTGGAGCCTTGTTCCCTTCTTACATGTTTCCCCAAATTCCCCCATCCAAATCAGGAACCAGACAGATGTGGTCACGTTGTCAGGTAAGTCCTTTCCCATCCAGGCTGACTTCTTGCCCCCCACACTCAGGAATGTGATCGATTTAGATTGCAAGGAATATTTTTGTCTATATAGATGTGTGTGTAAATGTGTGAATGCATAGTGTGGCTTGTAACACAAAATTCTTTTTTACTGTGAGTAGTGGTCAGAAAAATGTGAAAGCCACGGCTCTAACAGGTACATGAAATAGTGTTTCTAGCCGAGGAATGGCTTCTCACGGGAAATTTGAACCATTCCACTGGCTCTTTCCTTGATGCAGTCTTAGGAAAGGACAGACAGATCTCGATGTAACTTCTTTAATAACCATAGCTTGTTAAGTTGATCTCTTTATCCTAACAAGAGGAGGAAATCCCTAATGTCATGCTAAAGGACGGGGGGTTGTGTTTGGCAGGTCCTCATATCTATGGTAACATATTATCATGAGGAAAATGTCATACACATGAAGCAAGGACTAAATTGGAGGCAAGGCCCTGTGTGGTCTGATTGGCTCCAGGTTGGAGGACGGTCTGAGAAGATTGAGAAAGGGTTTTATATCTCTAAAAATGATGTCTTGAAGTAAGGAATATGGCATGAGTCCCCATGGTAGAAAAGATCCCAGGATTGGTGGCCTGTTGTTTCCCGGCTTACCTTGGTTAACCATTTTATCAGTCAGGATACAGTGTTAGTGGCTTAAAACGACCAAGGTTCATTTCTTGTTCACACTACATGTCCATCTTAGGTTCAGCTGGGGTCTCTGCTCCATATTGTCCTAGCTCTAGGACCTCAGCTGACCAGACAGCCACTGTCTGGAATAATCCCGGCGGCTGTGGTAGCAGGGAAAGGCGACAGAGGGTCTTGAACTGGCAGTTAAACGCCCCTGCCCAGATGACACGCCAGTTTCACTCCACTCATTGGCCAAAACAAGTCCCTGGGCCCACCGACCACAAAGGACCAAGAAGTACCATCCACCTTTCCCTGCGGAGGGAGGGGGGCAGGGGCATTTGGAGAACACGGCTCGTGGCTGCCACGGTCTCTGCGAGGTAATAAGCCACATAGCTGCATTTCCACGCTTCTCCAGAATCAGGAGCCCAGGCTGGGACTGGGTGGGGGATTGTGCTCCTGTATGCTGGCATCTCCTGGGGGGATAGATGGGGGTCGGCTGGGTCTTTGGCCTCAGAGGAGGGAATCTCTGCCCTGGAACGGCCCCTGAGGCTGGGTCCCGCCTGTTACCCGCAGGTGATGACCAACGGCTGGGAGACGGTGGACATGACCCTGCGGCGGAACGGGCTGGGGCAGCTGGGCTTCCACGTGAAGTACGACGGGACGGTGGCTGAGGTGGAGGACTACGGGTTCGCCTGGCAGGCCGGCCTCCGGCAAGGCAGCCGGCTGGTGGAGATCTGCAAGGTGGCCGTGGTCACGCTGACCCACGACCAGATGATCGACCTGCTGCGCACCTCGGTCACCGTCAAGGTGGTCATCATCCCTCCCTTCGACGACGGCACGCCCCGCAGGTAAGGGCAGCCCCCTGCAAGGCGGGAGCCAGGTGGGGTTGGCCGCTTCCAGGGTGCTGGCACGAGGCCTGCCTAGCTGTTACTCGAGTCCCTTTCTCATCCGGCAGGAAGAGCCATGGTGGTGACGGGGCTGGGGCTCAACATCCATGGACACTTACCGTGTGCCAGTTCTGGCTTCAGCCCTCCCTGTGCTGATTACCCTGTGTAATCTCCACAACAGCCCCGTGGGGCGGACGCCCTCATTAGTCCCCATTTTCTAGATGATGCACCCAGTGTTATGAGACACTTGCCCAGGGGCACACTGGGCATTGTTTGTTCAGCTCATATTTACGGAGCCCTTACTCTGTGCAAGCTCCACTCGAAGTGCTGGGGGTACAACCGTGACAAAATTAAGTGCCTGCTGCCTGGGAGTTTGTGTTCTAGAGGGAGGGATGGGTAATAATGAAATAGATATAGAATATGGGGCCAGGCAGTGAGAGGTCTCAGGAGAGAGTTAAAGCAGGGTAGTTACAGGGCCTGCAGTGTGATGGGAAAGCCGCTTATGGGTGGTCAGGGAGGGCTCCTCGGCAGAGGCGGCCATCTGGTTTTCTGGGCCAGCGGGTCCCAGACAGGGACCAGCTAGCGCCCAGTCTCCAAGGTGCACGTGTGTGGGGCGCTGCACAGGGAGGCCGGTGTGGCTAGAGCAGGGTGAGCAGGCTGAGAGGTGGGAGAGAGGGACAGAGAGGGAAAGGGGCAGACTGGGGGCCAGGGGGAGCCTTATGGACACGGTGACGAGCTTGGGTTTTATTCCAAGCACAGTGGGAAGTCAGCAGAGGGTTTGTTTCTTTCGTTTTGTTTCATCTTTTTAATGGAACATTTCAGACATATTAAAGGTATACAGAGCCGCCTGTTGCAACAGTTACCAACTCGTGGCCGGTTTTTTGTTGTTTTTAAATCTCCATATCTCCCCATTTTGGATATTGACTGCAATCTGAGTCCTTGGAATGTATCTCTCCTCAGTCAAGACCTTTTTAAAATTATTGTTACGCTTAGAATTTTTAACGATAAGTTAGTATCAACCACCCAGTCTGTCTTGAGCTTCCTGTTGTATCACAGAGATTTTTTAAAAGCAGTTGTTCTGTTAATCAGGCTCCTCCTGTGGCATCTGGTTGATGGGTCTCTTCCGGCTCCTTTAGTCGGTTATTTTCCCCTCCTCCTTTTTTTCCCCTGCATTTTATTCTGGGATGAAGCCAGGTCACCTGTACTTTAGAGGTTCCCACTTCTGGATTTAGCTCTTTGCATCCCCCTGGCGTCCTTTAACCTGTTCCTCTAGCACGTGTATTTTCTGTAAACTGGGGTTTGATGTAGAAACTTGATGTGAATCTGGTTAAATTTCTTCCGGTAACGACGCTTCCCGGTGTGCGTCATCAGGGGGCACCCCGTGTCTGGTTCCCTCTGTGAGTGATGCTGAGGGCAGACGGGGTTCAGGTGGTGGCAGCCTGGCTCATCGTCTTACATTTCCCCGCGGTTCTCAGCGGCCATTCGTGATCATTGCCTAGATCCGTTATTTCATTATGGGCCTCAGAGTAGCAATATTCTCAATTCCGTCTTTCCTTCTTCATTGACTGGCTGGAATTCTTCTAAAAAGAACTTTCCTTCAGTAACTGTTGGTTACTCTGAGGTGTCATTTATCCAGGGAAAGCAGGATGAAGGCACTGTTTAGAATAATGGGCTGGTACCCTGGCACCCTCCAGAGGTGACACTGGAGACAGAGAGAGAGAACATCACTAGGTTCCGAATGCTGGAAGCACAGGGGACAGCCACGGCCTTCGCCCTCGAGGAGCTGACGAAAGGATCGGGGGAGACAAACAGTGAAAAAGTGAGCACATAAGATGATTTCATACTGCAGGAGGGGGAGGCGGTCGAGTGTAGCAGGAAGGCGGGCTCCGTGGTGAGGTCGCCGGGGTTTGAATCCCAGCTCTTCCTCTTTTCACCTGTGACCCTGGGCAAGTGGCCTCACCACCCTGTGCCTCAGTTCCTTCATTTGTAAAATGGGGACGATAATAGATCCTGTCCGCAAAGGTAGTTGCGGGGTTGGAGATATGACTTGTAAAGCACATACAACAGCACTTGGCCCGTAGGGGGCACTCTAGAGACACTATCTCTGAGACATCAAGTGTGAGGAAAACAGAGGGCCTGGCCTGACAGTGGACACGGTGGTCAGGGAAGGCCTGAGGGTGAGGAAGAGCCAGAAGAAGGGCCTTGCAGGGAGGGAGTAGCCATCACAAAGGCCTGAGCTGAGGACAGCGGCCCTTGGCTTGTTGACAGACCAGAGAGAGGGTGTGGCTGGAGCAGAGTGAGCCAGGAGGAAGGCAGGAGATGAGGTGACACAGGGTTTATACACATGACCTCACAGGGCTGGTGTGATCCCCACTTTACAGATGAGAAAACTGAGGCCCCACGTGGCCCAGTCCCTTGTGCAGAGTTGTACAGCTAGTAAGTGGCAGAGCAAAACTCAACCCAGGTTTCCCCTCCCCATCCTACTCTGCTGCCTGAGCGTAGTGCTCCAGCCCCACCTTCCTGAGTCCTGCTTGCTCTGAACTGGGTGGAGACAGTTCTGGGCAGGCCTAAACCCTGCAATGAGGGACTGGGCCACCCCCAGCCCATGCCCCGGTCCCCCGGCCCCCCGGCCTCAGGACTCCAGCCAGGCCCCCGGCTCCTCTTCCCGCAGCCCTCTACAGGGGCCAACTCCACCTCAGCACGGAGCCAAGGCCCAGCCACACCCGCTCTGAGTTCTGCAGGGGCAAGTCAAGCCGAGGTAACCCCATAGGTGAGCTCCCCACAGACCCCCTCTCCTTGCTCTGCACACACGCTCACACCCGCACGTGTGCACACGACAAGCCAGCCCGCCTCTCAGATGACTGTGCAAAATGGGGAGCGCAAGAGGCCCAGAAGCGTCCCCGACGTAGAGGTAGGGACTCGCTGAAGCCAAAGTAAAAGTCTGCAGGCTCCGTTCTCTGGCTTTGGGGAGACGAGGCCGGGGAAGGTGTGACCAGACAGATGAGTCCCACTCCCTGCCCTATTTAGGAGAAAACTGTCATTCTGCTCCTTTTTTTTGGGAGGAGACCAGCCCTGTGCTAACATCTGCCAACCCTCCTCTTCTTCTGCTGAGGAAGACTGGCCCTGGGCTAACATCCATGCCCATCCTCCTCCACTTTATGTGGGACGCCGCCACAGCATGGCTTGACAAGCGGTGCGTCGGTGCGCGCCCGGGATCTGAACCGGCGAACCCCGGACCGCCAGCAGCGGAGCGCACGCACTTAACTGCTTGCACCACCGGGCCGGCCCCTCTTCTCCTTTTACAAGGCGGCCACCAAAACAGGCTCTCCTGCGTGCAGGGGCTGGTGTGGGTTGGGACTGGCGTGGGTTTTGTTGTTCTTCAAGTGCAGAGGTGCTGGGCTGAGCGCGTTTGCAGAGCTGATAACCCCAGCTCTGGGTCCCTCCAGCCGCTTGCTGCAACCCTGGCCTCCTGGCTTAAATGTCGCGATAACACACAGGGTCGGGCAGAGATGCTCTCGCTGCCACCAGCCAGGCTCTGCGTGGTGTGCGTCCAACCCCGTGCCCTTCAGACACCGAAGAGAGTACAGGGGGTCAGCCCCCTCCCCCAGGCCACAAGGCTGGGGTTCTCGAGTGAGCCCTGCACCGCTGGGCCACAGCTGGACTGGCCAGGTAGCCAAGAGGACATCCCAACACCCCAGATGAGATGCGTCATCGAGACCTTGGGTGCTTGTGCAGGCTCAGGAGGGATGTTCTCATCTCGCTGTCTCTGTCGCTGCCTGAGGCCATCTCCTCAGGCCATCCTGGGATGATGCTTTTGTCCCCTTTAGTTGGACTCAAGACCTCTGGTCGCAGGGTCGGAAACCCCTCCCTGAGAAGGGAAATTGAACCCGTACAAGTGAGTGAGTAAAGGAGGTAAGAAAGGGGCCCCTGTGGCCCCCGGACGCTAGGCAGTCAGGAATCGAGGACAAGGAGGCGGTGAGAGAAGCGGTCCGCGAGCCCGGGGCACCCTCCCTCAGCCATTCCCCATGTGCCGGAGGGGCTGGACCGGAATCCTTAGTGCCGCGTTGTTGGTCGAGCAGAAGACTAGAAGCCACCTGAGTATCCACCCATGGGGGCTGGCTGGGTAATCCCAGGTCATCCATCTGAGGGGATAGGAGTTGACTGTTTAAAGAAAAGGGAGTGACTCTGTTTGTGCTGAGGGCCTGGTAAGAAACACTGTTAACTGAGGGGAAGGGAAGCAGGATGGTGTAAGGAGTTGTAGTGTGCTATTCTTTTTATTACTGTTTTAGGTAATATTTGCTTATCTGCATAGGATATTTCTGAAAGAATACGTAAGAAACTGGAAGCTGTGGTTGCTTCTGGGGGGTGAAACTGGGGAACAGGGAGACATGACACAGATGCCCTTTTATACAACCTTAATCTTTAAAAACAATTCAAAAACTAAGTCAACAAAGTGGGCCTCTCAAACTTTTTTGTGTGTCCAAATCATCCTGGGCAGCTCGGTAAAATGCAGATTCCTGGGCCCCACCTCAAGGAGGATTCTGATTCAGAGGAGCTGAGAGGGGGCCCAGGAATCTGCATGCCTTTGCTGAGTTCTCAGGGTGCTTTAGATGCTGGTGGTTTTCGGTTACTGGGCAGGAGTTTGTTCCAGAGCCCCCACGTGGGTGTGGTGGGATTTCAGAAAGTGAAAGGGAGACTCCGGCTTCTGAGTATGTGGAGTAGCGGGCAGACTGTCCACAGAATCGGCTGGAGAAGGTCACAGCATCAGCTCCTGTTTATTTAGTACTTGGCATGTGCCAGAGTCTCTACTGATGCTTGTAGCATGCCCACAGCCACCCCCAGTTTACAGATGAGGAAACAGGTTCTGAGAAGCAAATTCCTTCCCAAGGCCAGCTGGCCCAGGAGCCCTGGCCCTCCACCACTCTGCTGCCTTCAAGATGATTAGATGATGTGTCCCTCTTTGAGGTCATGCCCGGGGGCTTCTGGTCAAAGGTGAAGCTGTGGGTCACTGGAGGAGAAGTCAGGGACCCAAGAAATCTACCCACTGGCTCCCAAACCACTCTACAGTGGGCCACTGTGCA